AACAGCGAGGTTTATAAATAGGCAGCGAGCTTATCTAATTCATAGCCAATTTACGCATATGACGGTAAAGAAAACAAAAATTTAAATTATTTCAGCTAATATAGTGTGGGATTATTGTACTGTTTCAAGGACGGATAGATAAAACTTAATCTTAAACTTTTCGGATTAGAAATATTGACGTGTTCAGGTACAAATCAAGGTCAAATAGATAAAAGTTAATTATTTAATTAAATATTTATTGTGTTTTATTGTTATTGGATCAAAGATTTTTTTACTTTGTGGATCCCCAGCTCCGAACGCCAAATGACGTCACACCGAAAGCACATCCAACTCAACTTAATTATGATCAAACAGTTGGAGACGAAGAAAAGTCTACATCTGCTGGATCGCAGGGGTATCTGAAACGGAATAGATTAGAAGAAGAAAAACTGTAGGATATATTTGCTGACTTACAATTACTAGTTAAGGTTTAAGGCAACTTGAGCTGTAGAGTCGTGAAATTCTAAACAAAATTAAAAATATAAAAGAAAAATAATAAATTAATTAATATTAATTAGATAAATATCAAAAGTGAACCACGAAACTTAGCTGTTTTTAAGCGTAAACATATTCTAGTTTATATTTATAAGCCAAAGGCGCTAGGGCAGTTTTATATAATGTATATATAAAACATTTACTTTATAGTTAAGGGAGCGATAAATATCAATCAGCTAAAGTATCGAAATATTAAAAAGAAATATCTTATATTAAACATTGCAAAGCTAAAGCCGATTCTTAATTATGTTAATTATAAATATAAGCCGTCTCTACGGGCTTTAAGTAAGGTGTATAAAGAGCACTTAGTTTATAAGTAAGAAATCGATAAATATCAATCAGATACAGTAGCAAAATATCAAAAGGAAATATCTTTTATCAGCTTAAATTGATTATTGTTTATGTTAAATATAAATAAAAGGCGTAAGGCAGCTTTGTATAAAGTAAATTAATAACATTTAGTTTTAGCTAAGATATTGATAAATATCTATCAGGTAATGTATCAAAATATCAAATGTAAATATCGAATATAAGTTGTTACTAAGCTCAAACATATTCATGTTCGCGTTATATGTCAGCATAAATTTATAGTTATGAAATCGATAAAAGTCTATCAGAAATGTGTGAAAATATCAAAATTAAAAAGTAAAAGTATATATATATATATATACACACATATATATACATATACCAAGTAGAGTATATAGAAACTTCGTCTTGCTGCTGTTTATGTGCATTCATAAAGAATTTTTATTTAGTTTGTACGCTGCGGTTGGAAACTCGTTTTCAAAAAATCGACAGCGAAAATAAAAAGAGTGAAAGACTATAGCAAGTTTATTTATGCTTTGCGTGTCTGCTGTGAATTAGTGCCAAATTTGATTATCTATGGCCACACATATAGACAAACACACAGATACACACACACATACACACACACAGCAACACGCCTAAATGTAAGTCACGATGATTTTGCTGACTGCTGACAGTCTTTGTAGTGGGTGTTGCTCGTATTTTTGTTGTAATTCTCGTTGTTGCTGCTGTCTATATTCCTAACGCCCCTATTAAATTGATTACTTTAATCAATTCAAATATTTATGGCCTAAATTTTTTAATATTTCATGTAAGCTCAAACTCAAACTCAAAAAATTAAAAACAATTTGAAAATTTCATTTTCATTTCAATTTTCATTTAATAATTTCTGCCTAAGCGTTTTGAACTTTGGCTTTAAAATCGTGGCGCACCTTTAATTGCGTGTGGCCATCGACAGCTACAGATTTTGATGCCATAAGTAACATGCCAAAGAGTAATTAGTGGGCAGCTCTCAGCTTGAGGTTGACCTTTCGGAGGCGCAGCTCTAAACTAGTTCAAGGATTTGGGAAAACAAAAAATTTGGATCACTTTTTACTTTGCTGCTAATCTCAATTTATAAAGCTGAGAAAAGTCTGTGACTGTAGGAAAAGTTGAATTTTTATATGAAATACTTTAAGCTAAGTACTCAACACACAGTGAAGCCTCAGTAATGTGAATATATTACTCTTTGACTTGAGCATTAATAGCATTTAAATGAGATAGAAAACTTTTGCTATCTTTTGTTTGACTTTTTGTGCTAACATCTAAAATCGGAAAGTTACACATAACGAGCGAGCACTGTACGCGTGCTGTACATGTACAAGCTGCTGCGCCTCGCTTTATTGATTAGTGGGCACATCAATGCAATGGAGTCTGTATAAGATGCTAAGAGTGTATAAGGACTTGTGCTCTCTCAATGAATTTGTCTGCTCTGTGTTGCTTTGTAATCGATTTCAATGGCTTGGCGGCAAGGAAGCGCATTATGGCTTCTCGGCATAGCGACTGCCATGGCAGTGAGGCAGTCAGGCAGTCAGGCAGTCGGCACTCGGGCTGCCAGGCTCACAACAATGAATGGCGCGAACAATGTCTAAATCTTTATTAATTCGACTATTTTGTGAAGCTGTTCGCCGTTGCCAGATTCACCAACTCCACTGCTCAGTGGGCCGGAGAGACGACGACGCATCGTCTGTGGACCACTCAACAAATAAATTAATAGCCATCAATCAGTAAATCCGCCAAAGGACCTTTTGCTTTGAATGCAAAGGTTTCGTCTCTCTCTCTCTCTCTCTCTGTGTGTATGTGTGTGTGTGTTTTTAGCGTATATGCGTGGGTGTATGTAACTGTGTGTGTACTTGTGGGGAACTCGTACAAAAGCGCGCTATAAACGCGCTCAATGAATGGCTAATATGCCGACTGCACGCGTTCAGCAGCTTCTGCTCCTGCTGCTTTTACTCTCGTATGGGGTCTTGGTGCTGCAAAGAACTATATGCCTTTTGCTGGGGTCAATATACAGGTCTGTACATGGCAGCAATTACAGTGCATTGATACAGCTCAGTATGTGCCGCAAATCCGATTAAGCTAGCTCAGCTTTAAATGAGCCCCAAAGGTGGGCAGAGCCTCAGGCAGCCAGCGAGCTTGAATGTGATTTAAAGGAATCAAAAAGCAACATTTTTGTTGCAAAAGGGTTTTTTGGGTCCGAAGCTCATTCGCGAAAGTTTCTTTAAACAGCAAACCTCAAATAATGCCAAATTTTTGCTCTGCCTCTTAGCTGATTTTGGCTGATCTCAGATGGATCAAGTGAATAGAATTTAAGAGTTAAACGATTGCTGGCTAAGGGCGTTTTGACAGTTCAATTTCTTTAAGCGACAGCCCGGGGCCAACTGGCAAATGGCAAGCGGCAAAATGCACAACACAGGAACAGCCACAACAACAACAACAACAACAACAAGAATAGCAGCAGCAAACAGCATCTCATAAATCATTTCGCGATGTCTATGTCGAGTATGATGACGACTGGCAATCGGGGCATCTGATTGACTACTGTCAGACAAACGGACAGACAGTTAGACAGACGACAAACCTATAAACCTACAAACAAACATTCATAGAAGCTGTAAGCACAGACCATATATGCTATATGCTATATCATATTCGCATGTGTGTGTGTGTGCCACGTGCATTTATTGTAAACGAAAGAGACACTGACTGAAAGAGAGGGCAATAGTATTGATGTCGAGGGCTCAATAGATATGCTGCAGCATTCATATGCACAGGCGCCGTCGCTGTCTCTGCCGTCGCTGACTGCGCAGCCAGCAGAGCGTAACAAATGAAATGTGACACATTATGCGACGAGGCGTATAACTGTCTTTCTCTATCTGTGTGCCAATGCAGCTGTGTGTGTGTGGGTGTGTATTAAATCAAATCGAAATGACTTTCGTACTCTATCAATGTCGAAATTATGCAATAACTTCAATTGATTACGAGTGCGTGAGTAATTTAGTACAACCGAAACATATGACGCTGTGTGTGTGTGCGTGTGTGAGAGTGTATATATCGGCAATCAGTGGCACCCTTGTGCGATACTGGGACCTACATGCGAGGACAGTAAAACGTTTAAAGTGTCATGTTGTGACCTGTGACGCTTTGCTGCCTCGTTACGCGGCACTTGGCTGCCTTTTCTTACTTTATTATTATTTGTTGTTGCTGTTGTTGTTGCTGTTGCTGTTGCTGTTACTGTTTGCTTTGACAACCCACTTACTTAGATAGACGGGGCACCTGTCCCGTTGTTGTCCTGGCTTCTGTAAGCAAATCGCACGCATCGACATGGTTGAGAGCAAAAACCCTTCAACTTGGCTTGGTCGACGTCTTGCCCTTCGCGTTGCTGCTGCTGCTGCTGCTGCTGTTACTGCTGTTATCTGCCTGCTTAGCTGATGGCTCCTGGTATTTGCCTTGGCTCAGGTCCCGCATGTGTTCGCCATATCCAGTTAAAAGGATAATGGAGCACAACAATTTTTACACGCATATATTTTACAAATATTTGCATTTTTGCCTGGCTGCCTGTCAACTGAGCTAACAGGACATGGCCAGGATACCGAAAGGGGGAGCGCTTGGCTATGTAGCACATAACTTTGGCGTACCTTTTGCATTGCTTCTTTTTAAGACACATTTGCGTCGTACTTTTTGTTGTTGCCTCGGTTTTAGGCCTCAAAAGTCTCAACTGCACATAAAGGGATTGAATACGAGTGTGTGTGTGTGCGTATGTGTGTGTGTGTATGTGTGTGCTTGTGCGAGCAAAGGATTTACTATGTCGTCTGCTAAAGACTGTGCTTTCTAACATATTCACTGGCTCACTCTATATATAGCTAAGTGCGTGCTATGATTGAATTACCCCTTTCAATATGATCCCAGAAAGAAGATATAAATACCAAACTATATACAAATTATACGCAATTTATGGCAATGGATTAATCTTTAAAGCAGCCATCAAAGGCTTCAGCTGCATTCATTTATATATCGCAAATCTGTGAGCCTATTTAAGTATGCCAAATGGCATAGTTTATCTTTGGTTCAGTTCAAAAATTGCGTTTATTATAAATGCAGAATTTATAAATTCTTTGGACTATAAAATAGATATAAAACTAAATTAAAATGTACTTTTTCATATTTTTGTTACTTTGGATTAGTTGTAATTCCTCCAAGCGACATCAGCAGCTCGAGGGCTGCCTTTCGCATGGCCTTACCATTGTTGTTGAAGGGCAGCCTTTCGGTGAATCGAACACCGCCGTGCAGCTGCTTGTTTATGGTGGGCAGGCGCTTGGCCACGTGATTCACAATTTCGTCGTGACTGATCTCGCTGCCTGGCACCTTGACCACCAGGGCGGTGGCCGCATCCATTATGAGATCTACGTGCACGCCCACAACACAGACATCGCGCACCTGCGGCAGCTCTCTGATCACGTTCTCGATTTCAGTGGGCCAGTAGTGAATGCCCTTGTACTTGAGTACCTCCTTTTTGCGATCAACTACGTGGAGATAGTTGTCGTCACTGAAGTAGCCCAAGTCCCCGGTATGCAGCCAGCCCTCTGAGTCCAAAATTTCCATTGTGGCAACGGGATTGCCGTAGTATCCATTCCACTTGATGGCGGAGCGCACATAGATCTCACCGATCTCATTGTGGGCCAAGCTATTCTCATTCTCATCCACGATACGTATGGTCATGCCCGGCATCGGCCTGCCGGCAGCTGAGGCTTTCTGGACGCCGGCATTCAGCGTAATCAGTCCCAATTCAGTCATCGCATAGGCTGAGTTGAGTGTCGCCTGCGGGCAGAGCTCCCGCAAGCGCTTCAGCGTCGCGTCCGAAGCAATGCTACCGCCATAGTTCACATTACGCAATGTCGCCAAGGAGCTCGTTGTGGCTGCAGGACAACTGGCCAGAGCTGCCATCTGGGATGGTGCCATGGTCACATAGTTTATTTTGTATTTCTGCACTAGCTCCACAATGTTCTCAGGGGAAAAGGGCTTATTCGATAAGACGCGAGTGCTGCCGTAGACCACGCTGAACATGAAAGCCCACAGACCGGAAATCCAATCCAATCCACTCTGAATAAAATAAACCGTTTCACTGTTGACAAACCTGACGTTTCAGAAAGTTCCAACCACATTAATATTTTCATGCAGCATGCGAAGTAAGAGCACTATATTATCATGATTATTATTCACTTACAAATTATCCTGTATGAGCACACTATTGGATATGCACACCGCCTTCGGCATTCCCGTAGTTCCAGACGAGCAGAGGATGACCACAGTTTGATCGCGGCCATTTTTCAGGGGCTCCGGACTGTAAATACAATTATCTTAGCTATCTACACCTGTGATTAACTCTCAAATGGTGCTCACTGGTAGAACTTTTCCGTATTCGTGGGCTCCAATAGACTCTGTATGCTGGGCTTGCCCTCTATGGGCTCGCTGACGGTGTACACCTCGGGACTCCAATCCTTGGTGGCCGCGACAATTTTGTTGTACTCCTGTTTGTCACAGAATATCAGCTTTGGCTTGGTTATCTCGAACATGTAGTTGATAGTACCTACGCAACAAGAGAATTCGGTTAGGAATCAGGGACTAAAGTAGGTAGAATATACGTACCCTCGTCCAAAATTGGATTGATAGCGTGGAATGGTGTGCCATTAAATAAACAACCCACGGCCAGTGGCATGACATAAGTGCTATTGGCAGCTGCAATTCCAACGACGCTGTTGTGGTCAAATCCACGTTTCTTGAGGAACTGGGCTATGCGAATGGACCACTTGAGGGCCTGTTCAAAGGTCACCGTCACTCCGTCAATATCTGATATCTGCGAAGTAGTTAATGTTACGAATATGATCACTGTGATCACACAGAAGGTCCTGTTTCGGCGCTCACCTGGCAAACGTTACTTGGCCAGTTCTTCATGTTATTGAAAATGATTCGACCCGCAGATGTATCTGAGCTATACATGGAGCTCCGGCAGGAGGCACTCCATGTTCTATCGATGCTATTCCATTTGCTTTCCATTGTTGTTGAGTTGACCAGAATAGTGTTTGCTGCAACTTGTCATAAACGACTATGTAAAGCTTCCATTCATTACTTCCCTTTATATTAAATATTGCGTGGGGAAATCAAAGCCAAGCGTTATCTATTATTTTAATTATCAATAAGATTATGTACTATATAAGACAAGGCATTCTCAACAGAATACTCTCTAATACTCTTACAGTTTTACGAGGTATGCACGCTTCTATGTGTTGATTGATTTTCTATGTGTTGATTGATTTTCTATGTGTTGATTGATTTTGGCTCTCACTTCTATAAAGATGGTTCAATGCTGAAAAAAAAGCATAGAGTATTAAAAAACATTCTGATATTAAGGCAGGAGATAGAAGATAACAAATATCAGGAGATAGTCTGAATCCTAACCTACGCTGTTGCTCAAAGCAACTTAGCTCTTATCTTTTCACGAAACCCCTCACTTACACATATACAGCTTTTAATATAATAGATAAATTTACAGAGAATAATTGATAACTTCGTTAAGTTAATAAATATTCCTACTTCTAGCTTCGATCTTGACCTTCCGCAACAAATTTAGCTAATCTGCATGGTCATACTTTTCCAAAAGATTTATACGCTTAAAGTATGGTCATACGATTAGTAGTCATTCAGGAAGTCTATAAATTGAATAAGTCTATTTTATAATTATTGAGTCCAGACACCTGATACTTACTCGTGCTTACTCTTATCTGATAAGGTGTTGCTATTAGTGAGGTACGCCCACTGAGTGCTCAATCGTGAATTATTTTGAAGAGCTAATAGAATTTTAAATATGTCGACCCATGTTTTACATTTAGACTCTCAGAAATTGAGCTCCATCCCCACTATTTCTTCCGTAGTATGATGACAACTGCTGATCTTCTCCACCGATGGAATGTTTGGTTAATGAATGATTTTGGTTAAGTTCTAATAACTGGATGATTTCATTTTATATTATTTTATTTATTTATTTCATTTTATTGAACACACGTTAAGTCTCTCAAGAGTTTGGCATACTTGAATTTCAACTTAAATTTAATTTATATTGTCTGATTAGCCACTCACAACTCATTTGTATAAGTTTAAGTTTAATTGAAATACAATCAAACGAGTTGAAGCTAAGCAATTTGCGCATTGCGAATTTATGGATTCCTTATCTTAATAAAAGATGAATTGAATTAAAACTGATTACTTTTTATTTATGTTTAGTTTCCGTTAGCTGTTGTGTCACTCAGCGACTTATAGAGCTCGCGGGCTGCAATTCGCATAACCTTGCCATTGTTGTTGACGGGCAGCTTATCGATGAACCGAACACCGGCATGCAGATGCTTGTTTATGGGGATAAAGCGCTTGGCCACATGATTCTTAACTTCTTCTTGAGTGATGTTGCCGTCTGGGCTTTTGACCACCAGCGCGGCAGCCACATCGCCAAGCACACTGTCAGGTATGCCCACAACACAGACATCGCGCACCTGCGGCAGCTCTCTGATGACATTCTCGATTTCGGCGGGCCAGTAGTGAATGCCCTGGTACTTGAGCATGGACTTTTTGCGATCAATGACATTCAGTAGGTTGTCGTCATCGAAGTAGCCCAAGTCTCCTGTATGGATCCAGCCATCGAAGTCAAGTATATGGCGTGTGGCAACGGGATTTCCGTAGTAGCCATTCCACTTCATGCCGGTGTGAACTAGGATCTCACCCACCTCGTTGTGGGCTAAGTTATTTCCATCGTCATCCACGATCCGTACGGTCATGCCGGCCATCGGCTTGCCAGTCGCTGTCGCATTCTGCACACCCACATTTATCGAAATCATTCCCACCTCGGTCATTGCGTAGGCCGAGGTAATAATCGCATTCTTGCACAACTCCTTCATGCGCTTTAGGGTTGCTTCGGTAACAATGGTACCGCCGTAGTTCAGGTTACGTAAGGAGGACAGAGCGCATGGATTTGCAGCAGCGCTGGTGGCAAGGACGGCCAAATGAACAGGTGCCAAGGTCATATACGTTATTTTGTATTTCTGCACAAGTTGCACAATGTTCTCCGGGGAAAAAGGCTTATTCGAAATGATTCTAGTGCTTCCGAAGACCACGCTGAGCATGAAACCCCACAGGCCGGAGATCCAATCCAAGGCACTCTGAATAAAGAAGACCGTTTCGCTGTTGACAAGTCTGTAAAAAAAAGTAAATATATTGTTAGTATATACTCCTCAATAGTGACACCAGTCAAGTCTATTAATCTGTATTACTATTAAATAATTTCCGAAGACATTTGCAATATCTCTAAAAACATACTTTCGATCCTTTGTCGATACCGTCGTTAGAAAAGTGTTTTTATAGTGTATTAAATCCTTTGAAAACTCCGTTTCAACTTACAAGTTATCCTGCATAAATACGGAATTGGAAATGCACACGGCTTTCGGTAGTCCCGTAGTTCCGGATGAGCAGAGGATGACCACAGTTTGATCGCCACCATTTTTGAGGGGTTCCGGACTGAAAACACAATAATCCCAGTTATCTGTACCTATGGATTATCTGTTAGCTCTGAAGTGGTGCTCACTGGTAGAACTTTTCCGTATTCGTGGGCTCCAATAGACTCTGTATGCTGGGCTTGCCCTCTATGGGCTCGCTTACGGTGTACACCTCGGGACTCCAATCCTTGGTGGCAGCGACAATTTTGTTGTACTCCTGTTTGTCACAGAATATCAGCTTTGGTTTGGTTGTCTCGAACATAAACTTAATGTATCTGCACGGCAACAGAGTTCGATTAGCAATCAGGGACTAAAGTACACAGAAAATCCGTACCTTCGTCAAACATCGGACTGATAGCGTGAAATGGTGTGGTATTAAATAAGCAGGCCACGCCTAGTGGCATGATATACGTGCTATTGGCAGCTGCAATTCCAACGACGCTGTTGTGGTCAAATCCACGTTTCTTGAGGAACTGGGCTATGCGAATGGCCCATGTGAGGGCCTGTTCAAAGGTCACCGTCACTCCGTCAATATCTGATATCTGCGAAGTAGTTAATGTTACGAATAATATCACTTGCCACAGAAGGTCCTGTTTCGGCGCTCACCTGGCAAACGTTACTCGGCCAGTTCTTCATGTTATTGAAAATGATTCGACCCGCAGATGTATCTGAGCTATACATGGAACTGCGATGGGAGCCACTCCATGTTTTATCGATGCTATTCCATTTGCTTTCCATTGGTGTTGGGTTGATCAGAATAGTGTTTGCTTCAAGGTCTCAAGAGCGACTATGCAAAATTTCTATTCATTACCTCTTTTTATATTACTAATTGAGTGGCGAAAGAAAAAGTCTTATCTATTTTATTTTTATTTAGGATTTTAATTAGGAACTAAATAATATACTATATAACACAGTGCATTCTCAATAAAATACTCTCTAATTCTTTTATAGTTTTACGAGGTATGCACGACTTAATATATTTTTTGATTTTGACTATAATTTCTCTAATGATGGTTGAAAGCTAAAAAAAATGAAAATTTAAAGAATTCTGAGGAAGATATGGATAATTCAATAAATTCATAGAAAACTAGTAAGAAAGCTCTAGTCGGCAGATACTAGAGGACACCCTGAACCTCTTCCGATCATCATTTTAAAATACGCTCCACAGTTTTGGACGAGCATAAACTTATAATAATTCGCATTTATTTATAATCAAATAGAATATTTGGAAAAATAGACTTTTCCAAAATATTTATACATTTTACGTATGGTCATACGATCAATAGTCATTCAGGAAATCTATACATTGAATTAGTCTTAATGTTATAGAATCCAGACACCTGCTACTTACTCTTGCTTACTTATATCTGATAAGGTGTTGCGATTACTGAGTGCTAAATCGTGAATTATTTTGAAGAGCTAATAGAATTTCAAATATCTTGGCCAAAGCTTTACCTTTGGACTCTCAGAAATTTTGCTCTATTGAATCCATATCTTCCGTAAGATAGTTATGATCGCCCGGCTTTGCTGGAGGATAACTGTTGACTTTCTCCACCAATAGAATGTTTACGATTTTGGTTAAGTCTTATGAACATTTTATTGATTTACCGAGTGGTAAATCTCTCAAGAGTTTGGCATACTTGAATTTCAACTTAAATTTAATTTATATTGTCTGATTAGCCACTCACAACTCATTTGTATAAGTTTAAGTTTAATTGAAATACAATCAAACGAGTTGAAGCTAAGCAATTTGCGCATTGCGAATTTATGGATTCCTTATCTTAATAAAAGATGAATTGAATTAAAACTGATTACTTTTTATTTATGTTTAGTTTCCGTTAGCTGTTGTGTCACTCAGCGACTTATAGAGCTCGCGGGCTGCAATTCGCATAACCTTGCCATTGTTGTTGACGGGCAGCTTATCGATGAACCGAACACCGGCATGCAGATGCTTGTTTATGGGGATAAAGCGCTTGGCCACATGATTCTTAACTTCTTCTTGAGTGATGTTGCCGTCTGGGCTTTTGACCACCAGCGCGGCAGCCACATCGCCAAGCACACTGTCAGGTATGCCCACAACACAGACATCGCGCACCTGCGGCAGCTCTCTGATGACATTCTCGATTTCGGCGGGCCAGTAGTGAATGCCCTGGTACTTGAGCATGGACTTTTTGCGATCAATGACATTCAGTAGGTTGTCGTCATCGAAGTAGCCCAAGTCTCCTGTATGGATCCAGCCATCGAAGTCAAGTATATGGCGTGTGGCAACGGGATTTCCGTAGTAGCCATTCCACTTCATGCCGGTGTGAACTAGGATCTCACCCACCTCGTTGTGGGCTAAGTTATTTCCATCGTCATCCACGATCCGTATGGTCATGCCGGCCATCGGCTTGCCAGTCGCTGTCGCATTCTGCACACCCACATTTAGCGTAATCACTCCCACCTCGGTCATTGCGTAGGCCGAGGTAATAATCGCATTCTTGCACAACTCCTTCATGCGCTTTAGGGTTGCTTCGGTAACAATGGTACCGCCGTAGTTCAGGTTACGTAAGGAGGACAGGGCGAAGGGCTTGGCAGCGGGGCTAGTGGCAAGGACGGCCAAATGAACAGGTGCCAAGGTCATATACGTTATTTTGTATTTCTGCACAAGTTGCACAATGTTCTCCGGGGAAAAAGGCTTATTCGAAATGATTCGAGTGCTTCCGAAGACCACGCTGAACATGAAAGCCCACAGACCTGAGATCCAATCCAAGGCACTCTGAATAAAGAAGACCGTTTCGCTGTTGACAAGTCTGTAAAAAATAAAAATGGATATGTAGTTAGCATATGTTCCTCAACAGTAGCAATAATTTCAAATTCAATTATCTGCATCTCTATCAAATAATTTTCCTTTGCCGAAACGGTCGTTGGAAAAGTCTACGAAATTGTGTATATTATTCGGCTGATTTATAGGGTATTAAATCCTTTGGAAACTTATTTCCAACTTACAAGTTATCCTGCATAAATACGGAATTGGAAATGCACACGGCTTTCGGCAGTCCCGTAGTTCCGGATGAGCAGAGGATGACCACAGTTTGATCGCCACCATTTTTGAGGGGTTCCGGACTGAAAACACAATAATCCCAGTTATCTGTACCTATGGATTATCTGTTAGCTCTGAAGTGGTGCTCACTGGTAGAACTTTTCCGTATTCGTGGGCTCCAATAGACTCTGTATGCTGGGCTTGCCCTCTATGGGCTCGCTTACGGTGTACACCTCGGGACTCCAATCCTTGGTGGCAGCGACAATTTTGTTGTACTCCTGTTTGTCACAGAATATCAGCTTTGGTTTGGTTGTCTCGAACATAAACTTAATGTATCTGCACGGCAACAGAGTTCGATTAGCAATCAGGGACTAAAGTACACAGAAAATCCGTACCTTCGTCAAACATCGGACTGATAGCGTGAAATGGTGTGGTATTAAATAAACAACCCACGGCCAGTGGCATGATATACGTGCTATTGGCAGCTGCAATTCCAACGACGCTGTTGTGGTCAAATCCGCGTTTCTTGAGGAACTGGGCTATGCGAATGGCCCATGTGAGGGCCTGTTCACTTGTTACGGTTACTCCATCGATATCTGATATCTGGGAAACAGTTGGTTTAATATTACGATCCTGTTTTGGTAAAGGTCCTGTTTATGCGCACCTGCAACACTTTTTTCGGCCAATTGCTTAAGGTATTGAAAATGATTCGACCCGCAGATGTGTCATAGTCATACATGGAGCTGCGAGGAGATCCAGTCCATGTTTTGTCTCTGCTATTCCAATTGCTCTGCATTGTCGTTCAGCTTATTAGTAACTGGGACTATTCTCTGCAAAGTCTCGTAAGCGACTATTTAACATTTTCATTCATTGCCTTTCTATATATTAGTTGTTTAAAGGTAAGAGCTTTATTATTTATTACCCACTCAACTTTTCATTTTACTTATCAATAACAGATTGCTGTGTATTATTCTGTGAATTAAGTATTGAATGATTTGAGCTTGTTCGTAAAGATTACAAGGTGGGCGTGTTCCTACATTTGTATCTGTTGTTCGAGATTAATTTTATCAAATTAAATATTATCTATATATATATAAATATATATATATATATATATAAATATATATTTATATATATATATAAATATATATATATAGATATATATAGATATATATCAAGTTTTTCACAAGGACAGCCAGACAGATGTATTGCTCTAAATTATAGATTCCCTTATAAATTGATTAGTGCAATAAAAAAAGTGTGGACTAAAATTAAACTGGATTATTTTTTATTTCCAGCTCAGTTTGTTTGTTGTTTGTTTGTGGTAATTCCACCGAGTGACATAAGCAGCATGAGTGCCGCTTTTCGGATGTTTTTACCGTTTCTATTGAGGGACAGCTTATCAGTGAATCTAACACCGCTGTGCAGCTGCTTATTTATGGTGAGCAGGTATTTGGTCACCTGATTCACAATTTCGCCGATACTGATCTGGCAACCTGGACTTTAGGTCCCCACTGTGAGACACCTCTTCGCATACTTGAGGCAACTCTCTGATAACATTCGTGATTTCAGTGGGCCTGTAAAAAATATATATTTTAAGCAATTACAATTAAATATTACAGTGACTCCATTAAATTCTGCTATCTGTGAAATAGTTTTTGACATTGATCCTGTGCCAGAAAAGGTCCTGCCCATGTGCTATCCATTGGTGTTTAGGTAACTTCTGTATGCTTCTAGGTGTCTTTAGCGACTAAGCAAAACTTTGGCTTATTTTTATCTTCGTAATAGTTATATTTAGACAAAAGCCAAATGCTTTATCTTTCGTGCTTACTTATCTGTTCGAATATTTATCTTATTGGTCAATGTCGCTCCATTTGAATACTCTGTAATTTTGTATTGTATATTGGATCTTGCTGCAATGGAGCCCTATTAGTGCGTGGATTAATAATTAGTATGACCATAAAGATTCTTAAGTTCTGTTTGTAAACGGAAATTATTTCATTTGACCTTCAATCAAAAATAAAACCAAACGAATCGCTATTGTTATAATTATTATTATTATTATTATTATTATTATTATTATTATTATTATTATCATAATTATAATTATTATTAATATATAATAATATTATTTCAGTGATTCATAACTACGAAGCTGAAGCTGTTAACTGATTTTTCTGACAATACATTTTCCTATATAATTAATATGTTTCTTGTGTCCAAGTAGATAAATATTTTGCCAAGTTTTATTAAGATTTCAAATCTGCCCAAAGCTATGCAATCTTTTAAGGGTAACCATAAGTTAGGAACAGTTAATAAAATAAAACTGTGTAGCATACTTACATGTATTGTTTATTAAACAAATAGTAAAATAATAATTTTTTATATTTTTTCTGTCTAATATTAAAATACTAAACATCAAAAATCGTTTCAGTTGAGGCAAAAGCTCTACTCGTTGTGCACTTTTGAATTTATTTAATTTCTATATTTATGGCTTAAAATAATTCCTATAAATAATGCTAAGGTCATTATCTCAAAATAAAAGTAATAAAATTAATAAATAGAGAAATTGTTTATACTTTAATTTTAATAATGAATAGCTAATAGAAAAGCACATATTTCTTGGCCATAATGCAACATAATTCAAAAATTGTGGTTTCATAACTGCTCGAGTGCATAAATGCCAGATTTGTAGCCAAAATAAGTGCTTTTCTGCCTACAATGCAATAAATGCCATAAATCTTCGTTATCAAAGAGAGTACAGCCAAATTATGGGAAACCAGAAAAATAATATCTAAATTTTGAACAGCTTAGGTCACAAATGTTATGAAAATTTACTAAAAAAAGTTAAACATTTTTCAAACTGATATTGAAATTGAAATAAATTTTCTGTGTTTTCTATTTGACTAATTTTCATTGACAGTCTGATGGAAAATCAGCCAAATGTCTTGGAAATTGGGTTCCAGTATTAACTGTTAGATTTGTAAGTTATCCCCAATCATCACACTAATTGTCAGCTGTCAGCAGAACCTTTTTGGACAAATTGAGCTGGTATTCTGAGAATTTGCATAGCTTAAGACTTGGTTTTCGAATGAATTCTGAAACTCGGTCGGTCATCTTTCGACTTTGACAACGATTTGCATGCATAATTTATAGCATTCAAATGGCTTAAATTGCAAAGTCATTTATTTGATTTTATTATTATTGCGAAAATTGGCCCAAATGGCATCGGTAAATTATTTTATTTACACTTCACAGCCTCCGTAGCAGCCTAAATGAGTAAAAAGTAATCAAAAATTATGAAATGACATTTCAATTGACAACGCATTTTTTTCACAATCATTTTTATTACACTGTGAATAAATGCAAATTTCGAGCAGTAAAGTCACTGTGTTAATATGCATTAATTTATTCGCTTATGTATACACAGTGCACAACATGTTGGAATGGATAAGTTTATAAACTAATTTTCATTTAAATTTTAAATATATATTTTTTTCATTTGCTTTCACCTGAAAAGCTTGGCAACAATTTACGCATCTTGAAGAAGTCTCCAAGCGAAACTATATTTTCTTGCCTGTGACATATTTTTATGGCACGCACTGTGCCATGTGTAAGAGCTTCTGTGCTTTCGTACGTAGTTGCAATTTTTGCCATTATTAATATATATTGCGCATACGCCATGTGTGACGACTTTAATTAGCTTTACACACCTTCGCACTGCTCCGGCTAAGGTCAATGTGCAAGCGTGTGTGTGTGTATATGGGTCAAGCAGCGCTAGCTCTGTGCTTTGCGTACTCGTACTTGGATAAAAAATGATGTGTGCGTGCGCCAGTTGAACAGCAGAGTAGAAGCGACAGTGGGACCAGGTCAGGTTTTAAAGCTGCTGCAGGAGTGTGCGAGGCTCTGTTGTTGTTGCTGCTGCTGCTGCTGGTAAATGTGTGGCATACTGTCGACGTCGCCGTTGACGTCAAGTCGCACTCATCCTAGAAAGCAGAGCAGAAGGCGAAAAACGGAGGGGAAAAAAAAAAACTAAAATGTTGGCCTAGCGACTGCGTGCGAGGCAAGTGGCGCCAGTTTGTATTGTCATCCTTTTGCCCGTTCGCTTTTTGTCTTCGCTTGGCGCTTGGCGCTTTGCTTTGCCATTTTTTGTTGCTGCAGCCTGAGCCTGCCATGTATCTCTCTGTAGCTGTACCTAGCTCTGTCTAACTGTCCGTCTGCGTGTCCTTGTGTCCTTGTGTCTGTGTGCGCCGGAACGCTTTTTCTTTTTCTATTATTGTCTCACTTACAAGTGTACCCGATGTATTATGCATATCCTGTAACACTCCACTTTTGTTGTGCATTAGTCAAATGTGCGACAGTTGGAAAAAGAAGACGCCAGCAGCAGCAGCAGTAGTGGTGGCAGTGGCAGCCAGAGGGGCGTACACTGTGGGAAATGGGCATGGAAATGGGGCACATTTAGTCACACAATTGGCTTTGCATGGCCAATGGGGCAGGCGCTGGGCAAAACGTTGCCAACGAGCTAAATATTGTTGTCAGCCCTTTTGTTTTTGTTTTTTTTTTTTTTTTTTGCTTTCGCATTTCAGGTAAGCAAATGAAGAAATTAAAGCAACGAATTAATAAGCACTTTATCCATTTCCTGCTACGCCTTTAATTGGCCTTCTGCGATGGCTTAGTGCGTCTTAGTCTCTCTGGAGCTTTGTTTATATTAATATGCCTCCATAAGCCGCTGCAAATGCCTTTCCCCTACCGCCGCATCGCCAACCTCTCCGCTGTAGGGCAATTATCAGGGCGAAGGCGTCGACGTCGACAACGTCGGCCTCTCGGCAATGCCATAAAAGTGCCACTTAAACTGTTTTAGTTTTTTGCTCTTGTTTTTGCTCTTGCTGTTGTTGTTTTGTGCGTCCCTTTGAAGTTTCAGGTGGCAGTGAACGGAGCGCCATGCCAACTACTAATCCATCCACGGCAATGACACTACACTGCACGTTTTGGTAAGCAATGCAGACTGTGGCATTGGCTAGAAATAGTCTTAGATTTAGATTGAGATTTAGATTGAGTTTATGAAGTTAAATAAATTAACTTGAATTAGTTAACAGCTTAAAGATATGACAAAACTTTATGTGAAATGCCCAGTTAACATTCTGCTCAATAAAGTGTGATTGATTGTTTAAATAATTATCATGTATTTATCAATTCTTTTTTTATAAATTCCTACTTAGATTGTATGTGAAGCCCTCTAAGTTTCATGTAAAAATTTCTCTACAATCTAGATCTGTATCAAAATCAATATAATCAGCTCATGTGCCTGCTTTAAGGTTTTACTTCTTCTAAGGCAGCTAGCTGAACTGAATCTTAGCATATTTAATTTTGGCTTCAGGTCATTGAATCAGCTTGAATAACTCTTGATCATATAAGCTACCTAAGATATATACAATATAATTTCTTAATTCAATTTTTTAAGTACTCGTAAACTGGTTGATTTATTATGACATTTACATATCAAGATGTTCCGCTTTAATAATGTAAGAATAGTTCACAGCCATACAACATTTGACCACAAATTGATCGGGCAAACATATTCATCTAATCTAAATAAACACAAGCTTGACATCCTTAAAAATTTACCAAGATTTTATTGGCATATGCTTAAATATGCGTAATTGAATTTGTGTAGTACATTGATTTCAATTTGATGTAGAAGCCAACAAATGGTCAATTATTCAGAGGACTTTGTCAAATTTGGTCAGTTTGTAGGCGAGTGTGGTCTAGCCATAACTGTAAATTGTCAGGCACAACAGGCTCTAAGCGAGTGCGTGTGTGTTAGTTGGCAGTTGCTTAGTTGTTTAGTTGCTTGGCTGTT